CAGAGAAGTGGTGCCTCGATGCGCACCCGGGATCCGAACCCGGGCCGCCAGCATCGCAGCGCGTGCACTTAACCACCAAGCCACAGGGCCGGCCCGGTAACAGAGCTTTAATGCTGTTGATTTCCTAAGGCACAGGTTAGCTAAATTTTATAATTTACCTTTTCGGTAAGTACTAGAGGTGAGCCAGCAACTGTTAGCCACATTAGCCTCATACTTTTGATACAAATGTGTTAAATTTTATTTTTGAGAGAATGCTCAAAGTCTTCTCCCACAACCTTGTGTTCAATTATTTGGGTAACCACCAGTTTAAATGTCATAATTATGCTGAAGGGAATGTTCGGCAAAGAAAAGTGAAGATTAGAGTATGGTAGATTCATCAGTAATGAGCATAAAACCAATTTCATTATTTGGTTTTTGATAACTTAATGAAAATGGAGTAAACAATCTGTTTCCTAAGTATGGAAAGAGAGGAGGTTGAAGTCACTAATTAGGATGCAGAACTGCTTGTGGCTTTCCAGGGAGTCAGCTAAGGATTCTACTCATTTTTTAATTCAGCAAATTGAGCAGCCGTTATGTGCCAAAGCCTATTCCAGGTACTGTGGATAGAGCAGTGGACAAGACAGTGTCCTCATAGGACTTGTTTGAGGGAAAGAGACAAAAAAAAAAGATAAAACAAACAAGATAATTCTAGATTATAAGTATATAGAGATAAAAAACAGTGATATAACAGAGGGTAATGAGAAGGGGGTTTCTTTATATAAGGTGGTCGAAGAAGTGCTTTCAGAGGAGACAGTGGACCCCACACTTGAAAAATGTAACCATTGTTCCCGTTACCTAGACCAGATTGTTCATATCCTATAGTTGGCCGTCTTTGATACTGTAGATGACCAAATTAAGTAGGGAAATACTGATCAGTGCAGGTGTGTTTGTGTAACTTAGGAAGATCAGGTGATGATGACTAGAGAGATGATTTACAAGTGAGCAGTTTGAGCTAATGTCGACTAGCTAAGCAGGAGTTGTGGGGGAGAAGAATAACAACTATTCCTGTGTTGTTAGGTTTCTTATATTCTCCAGGGTGGTAATTTTTCTTGACCCTAGTGAGCCTATAACTAAGGATTCTGTATTATCTTTCCCATGATGGGAATAAGCAATAATTATGTCCCATGCATAGACCCTTATATGTGATATGTAAAGTTTTTCCTGAACAGATTTGCCATGTTAACCTCTAGAGCACTATGGAATGTGTGGGTTGGTCCCTAAAGTGTTTTGTTTTTGTTTTTAATTGTGGATGGTAGAGTGTTAAATTTGTGATTGTACTACTTTGGTGAGAAATTAGCAAATAATTGATACACCTGAATAGTTCAAAAAGTCTTGACGTATTTTCATACTTTCCTTATTACCAGGATAATCTTAGAATAAATTTACTTTTCAGAATCTTTGGGATTTGAAGCAACGTTTTTCTTTTCTAGCATGGAACTTATGCTCTATAGAAATAGTAAAAGGTCCCAAGAATATGAGACTATACTTTAGGGAAAAAAAGTCAATTCATTTAATTGAGAGTTTTTTGATTTGTCACAGGCGCCACGATAGCAGTGGGAGTGGACATTCAGCATTTGAGCCCCTGGTGGCCAATGGAGTCCCTGCTTCTTTTGTGCCTAAGTAAGTGAGAATCCGTCTGGATGAGACAGAGACTGTTTGGAAAAAGGGCATTATCAGAGTTATTGACCTGTAGATTTTCCTCTTTGCTTTTTGCATTGTTATTAGTTCAGGTTCAAAGCTTTGAAATCAGAGAGGAACATTTTCAGTAATTTGCCACAATAACTGTCTTCTAATTCCTTTTACTATTTTTTCATTAATATGGATAAAATATACTAAGGCTAAGAGGATTTGTAAATATATTTAATAACCAAGTATATAAACAGAAAGATCACAGGGTTTGTGCAATGGATAAAATGCAACAATATGAAATTTAAGATAAACGTTAAGTTTCTACAGTTGAGGAAGAATTGGATGGGAGGGAAAGTGGCTCAGAAATATGTATGAAAAGACTTCGGGTAAATTATATGCTTAATTTGAGTCAGCAGTATGATATGGCTGCCAAAACAGCTAAGGTGCTCCTAGTCTGTGCATAGAAGAACAAAGACTAGAATGAGGCAGGTAAGTGGTAGTCTTGCTTTCCTTGGTTCTCTCAGATTGTCCGTGCGATGTTGTGTTTGGTTCAGTGTGCTACGCTATAAGAGAGGATGTACACAAACTGAAATTCATTTTGAGTGAAGCAGCTGTGATGTTAAGGGGGAGTGGTGGTGGGTGAGGGAGTTTTGAAGGTATAGCTGTAAGTACTAGCCCAGAGGAGAAAAATCTCAAGGGAATAACGAAGTGAGGGAGGGAAGGATAATGGTCTCCAAAAACTGAAGGACTGTCACATGAAAGACGGAAAACAGCTTGCTCCATTGGGCTCCAAGTAGGATCCATGGGTGAAAGTTAGAGGAAATACGTTTTCATCCAGCGTAAGAATAAAGTGGTCCATGGTTGACATTCATCACTCTAGGAGATAGTGAGTTGTCTACATTTTAACAGAGGTTGGATGACTATTCTACAGGAAAGATGTAGAGGGAGTTTCTGTTTCAGTTGATACATTTTGACATGTGTAATACAGCTGTGAAACCATTGCCACAGATAATATAACCATCACCTCCAAAAGTTGCCCCCTGCCCCTTAGTAGTACCTCCTTGCAATCCTGCTACCATCCCCCGGCATTCACTGATTTGCTTTCTGTCACTGTAGATTAGTGTGAATTTTCTAGAATATTATGTAAGTGGAATCATACTTTTAATCTTTAAAATATTTGGCCTTCCCTTCCTGACTTTGGTCGGATATATTTAGCCAAATTGTTAACAATAAAATTAGGAGCATTATGCTTTTTTATTAAGTTTATTTAAGAAAGATTTTGTGACCATGGATGAAGCCTTAAAAGAATGTTGCCTTCAATAGCACATCTAACTATTATTTCCCTTTTATTAGGCCTGGGTCTCTGAAGAGAGGTCTCAATTCCCAGAGCTCAGATGACCACTTGAATAAGAGATCCCGCACCTCTTCTGTGAGCTCCTTGACAAGCACGTACACAGGTGGCATCCCCAGTTCTAGCCGCAATGCCATTACCAGTTCTTATAGCTCTACTCGAGGTTTCTCCCAGGTATGTTCATCTTGTGGGATGGGAGAAATGTGTTCCCAGCATTCATTAATTCATTAGCCAGTGTTTACTAACTGCCTTCTATCTGTCAGATGTTGGGATTACCTCTAAGCTAACAGAAGATACAAACTCTTGAATGATAACTGTAAACAGATGGAATGGAATAGAAAGCCCAGGAAGTAAACCAGTGCATTTGTGGAAACCTGATACAAGACAGAGCCGTTATTGCAGATAAATGGACACAGGATGAATAATTCAATAAATGGTATTAATTTGATTGAAAAGGTAGATCGAGTTTGGATTGCATAGGGTCATAAAAGAAATTCATCCTATAGGCATCGAGAATTAGTGAAAGTTTTCTAAATAAGAAGTGATCGTAACTTGTTTTTAGAAAGAGGATGTGGTATAGCATAAGGAGCAGAGCAAGCTTTGCTACCAGACAGACTTGGGTTCAACTCTTGGCTCTGACACTTAGTAGCTATAGGGCCTTGGGCAGGTATATCACTTAAACTCTTTTTCTCATCTCTAAAAGATTGTTGTAAAGATTGAAGGTAATGTTTGAAAAGTACCCATTACAATGCTTGTCAGTAAGTGGGTACCCAATATATAGTAGCTAGAAAAAATAAAGCAGGTGTGGAGGAAGATTTTTGAGGGGAGAAAAATTTTGAGATAAATTAAGCAATCCAGAAGGCTTTTACAGTAATATGAATGAAAGATGAAGGCCTAAGCCAGAGCAGTTGTGGAAATGAAAAGAAGAGGATAAAAATAATAACCTTTACCTTGAGCACTTATTCTATGCTAGGCCCTATCCTGAGCACTTTGCATGCATTTCCTTATTTAATCATCACAACAGGCCTATTAAGTACATACTCATTACCCTATTTTTAAAATCTTTTTATTATGTCAAATTTCAAATGTACGTAAAAGAAAAGAAAATATCATAGTGAACTTCCATTAAGCTTCAATAGTTAACAGCAGTTTGTTAGTCCTGGTCCATCAGTGTCATCCGATCCCCCCCCAACCCCCCCGCCCCTGTTTGTTTTTGCTCTTCTGTGTTTTTGGTTTTGCTTTTTCCGTCCCCAAAGCCCCATACATAGTTGTATATTCTAGTTGTAGGTCCTTCTAGTTTTTCTATGTGAGCTGCCACCACAGCATGGCAACTGACAGATGAAGGGTGTGGTTCCGTGCCTGGGAACTGAACCCCGGGCCACCCAAGCAGAGTGCGCTGAACTTGAACTACTAAGCCATCAGGGCTGGCTGATTGCTCTTGTGTTTTAAAGTAAATTGCAAACATGTCATTTCACCTATAGATACTTCAGCGTATTTTTAAACTTTTTTTTTAACATTAATAACCACAATATGATTCCTCTTAGACAGTAATAATTCTTTAATATTAGTTAATATCACTCCATGTTCAAATTGCCCTTATTACCCCAAACTGTATTATTGCAGTTACTTTGTTTGAATCAGGGACCACAAATCAATTCATTACATTTGGTTCTTTTGTCTCTTAGGATCTTTTAATCTGTAATACCACTACTTTTCTTTTTTTCATGCTTTTGAAAAAACTGGATCATTTTGTTCTGTAGAATTTCCCACATTCTGGATTTAGTTTGCATCATCATTGTGTCGTTGTAACATGTGCTCTACCCCCTGTTTTCTCTGTAAATGGGTAGTTGGATCCTGAGGCTTGGTTAGACTCAGGGTCACTTATTTTGGCAGAATATTCTAGAGGTGGTGCTGTGTACTTCATGTCACACCACATCAGGAGCACGTGATATCTGGTCGCCTCCCTTTTGTAAAGTTAATATTGATCACAGGGTTCAGGTGTTGTCCATCTGATCCCTTCATTTTAATTTTCTTGTGAGCTTTTCATCTAATGATTTTAGCAGCCATTTATCATCTTTGCCTAGGTCCATTGTTTTATTAAGTTGCAAAATGGTGATATTTTAATTCTGTCGTTCGGTTTGCATTTATTAACAGAAATTCTATATGGAAGAACATGCCCTGCCTATGGGAATGACAGGATAATAAGAAAGCATTGATACCATAGCTAACTCTAAAGGTGGCCAGTAAAGTATTTGCTTTGTTATTTATGAATTTCTGAACTTTTATGAAGTTCAGGAGCTTCTATACACTGTAGTTATTGTTTTTGATGTGCAAACTTTTCCAGCTTTGGCCAGTGGGAGCCCTTTAAAATTAGCTCCTGTATCCTTTTGTTTAGACCCCAGTAGTCGTTGATAGACAGCTTCATTGCTTTTTTGCCCCCCCGCCACCCAAAACTCCATCTTGTACATTTCCAGCCCAGACTGAGGTTGGGTATTTCTTCAAATAGCCTTGGTTTCTTTCAGTTGGAAATGATATTTAAAGACTACAAGCTGGATTCTAGGAGAGTTAAGATATACATATCCTCTAGAAAGAGGACTCTAAATCATTAGTTCATATTGATATTTCAAATTCACATTTAGGATTACAGAATTTTTTACATAATTTCTTTGATTTTATATTTTTATGTATTCTTATGCAAAAAAGTGTTGGTTCATACTTATTTGCTTGATCCTGGTATACACAATTTCAAAATAACAGTATCAGTGTCATTATTAACGGTAAGACTTATGAAATCAGCTTAAGAATTATTTGTGATTCATTTTGTCATTAGTAGATATCACTCTATGGATACTGAGGATGTATAATCAGAATGTGTGTTTTAAAGTAACGTGAATTAATTGTTCTCAGTTGTTCACACCACCAACTTGATGTACAATGAGGTTCATTTGTTCAGTAGATTTCAACGTTTTAGGGATTTCTATGTTTTTCTTTTTGATATAGTTTGTTTTCAATTATGTAAAATACTTAAATTGTTCCAAAGAACATGTAATAAAACAAGATATACTCGGAGAAGTCAAATTTCATCTCTCCTCTCCACATTGTTCCTGTCCTCTCCATTTTTATTTTTATTATGCTTCAATTTTTTTCCAAAACTATATGCAAATCAGTGTCTACCTGTAAATCTCCACCTTCTAACGTCTCAGGTAGTAATACATACAAGTTTGAGCCTTGCTTTTTTCACTTACTGTATACTAGAGGTCACTCCATAGCAGTATATGTAGAAATTCATCCTTTTTTTTTTTTTAATTTACAACTGCCTAATTACTCTCATCCTCTGTTGGTAAACGGTGGATTGTTTCAATCTTTAGCTATTACAAATAGTGCTACAGATAATACTTTAGTTCATATGTCATTTCATATTTTGGCCATTATACTTCTGGGATAGATTCCTAGAAAATAGATTCCCAGATCAAAAATTAAATGCATGGGCTGGCCTGGTGGCGCAAGTGGTTAAGTGCACACGCTCTGCTGTGGTGGCCCAGGGTTCGCCGGTTCGGATCCCGGGTGCACACTGATGCACCACTTGGCAAGCCATGCTGTGGTGGCGTCCCATATAAAGTGGAGGAAGATGGACACAGATGTTAGCCCAGGGCCAGTCTTCCTCAGCAAAAAAAAAGAGGATTGGCAGATGTTAGCACAGGGCTGATCTTCCTCACACATACAAAAAATTAAATGCACGTGTAATTTCACTAGATATTGTTAAATTCCCCTCAGAGTATGTACCATTTAGCGTTCCCATCAGCATACTTTGACAGTGACTTTTTCTCCACTGTCTCACCAACAGATGAAGTTGTCATAGCTTTGGGTTTTTATCAGTTTGACAGGTGAGGAATCGTATTTATTTTGTGTTTCTTGAGTGAGGTGGAGCAGCATTTCACATATTAGAGAAACATATTCCAAGTGAACTAAAGATTTAAGTGTAAAATAGAAACCATAAAAGTGTTTGTGAAAACAGGCTTCTCATGCCTTGCTGGTGGGAGTGTGAGTTGGTACAGTCCTCTAGAGGGCAGCATGGCAGTAATTACCCACATTCAAGATGCATGTGCCCTTTGATCCAGCAGGTTTGCTTTTAGGAATTAATCCTACACATATACGCATACACTCAAAGACGTATACAAGGAAGGATGTTGACTGTAGCATTATTTTAATAGCAGAAGCTTGGAAACAATGTAAATGTACCTTTTCAGGAGGCTGGTTGCATAACTAACTTACACTAGTTCGTAAGTTGAAATACTATGTAACTATTGAAAAGAATAAGGCAGCTTAATGGGCGCTGATGTAAATGATCTGAAAAATATGTTATATAAAAAAAGCAAGGTGCAGGGGGCCGGGCCCGTGGCTTAGCCATTAAGTTAAGTGCGTGTGCTCCACTATTGGCGGCCCGGGTTCGGATCTGGGTGGGCACCAATGCACTGCTTGTCCGGCCATGCTGAGGTGGCGTCCCACATACAGCAACTAGAAGGGTGTGCAACTATGACATACAGCTATATACTGGGGCTTTGGGGAGAAAAAGGGGAAAAAAAGGAGGAGGATTGGCAATAGGTGTTAGCTCAGGGCTGATCTGCCTCACACACACACAAAAAAGCAAGGTGCACTGTGTATAGTGTTCTCTGTTATTTGTGCTGCTGGTTTCTTTAATCTTTTAGTGTGCATGGAATAATTCTGACAGGATATATTAAAAACTGGTATTGAGATAGGAAGGAAACTTAATTTTGACTGTATGCTCTACTTGTTGGAATTTGTAACATGTGTACATGTGTATTACCTTTGCTGGTTTCAGAAATTTTTAAGTATAGATAACTGTTAAGTAAATAGTAAAATTCCCCTGTTCTGGCTATCCCAGTCTCCATCCCGTAGGTACCTATTGTTAACATTCCTACTGTGTGCAAACATAATACAGAGAATTTTTGGACTGTTTTACACAAATGGGATCATAGCATATGTGCTTTTTTTGCATCTTTTTTTATCATTATATATTGCATAACATTCCATGTCGTGTAACCTGTCTTGTTTTTAATGGCTTTTTTTTTATTGGAGTATAATGTGCAAAAAAACAAATATGTGTACAAAACTCCATGAAACCACCAACCAGGTCCAGTAATAAATCATTTTCA